GAGTGCTGGGATTAAAGGCGTGCGCCACCACCGCCCGGCCTGGTATCCCTCTTTTTACAGGTACCAGGTGATGCTGCAATGCTGGGAGGCTGACCCGGCAGCGCGACCCACCTTCAGAGCCCTGGTGATGGAAGTAGAGCACGTAGCGAGCTCTTTGCTTGGCGACCACTACGTGCGGCTGTCCCCAGCTTACGTGAACCTAGGTCCCAGCGCCTTGGATGATGCGAATGCGCTTCCAGAGCAGCCACAGCCCTCGCCACAGCGTCACAGGAGCACGTCAAGGCCCCGGCCTCTCTCAGAGCCACCTCTGCCCACCTAAGCCCTCAGCAGACCAAGGGGACTCTATCTGCTAAGTGGCCTTGAGCTCACCCCAACCTGCCTCTGGGCTATGACAAGCTGAAGGGCATTGAACCTCCACCCTTTAACTTTCTGAAGCTACTGGAGGTGGGAAACAGCACATTTAAGCCCCTTACTCCAGCATGAGCCAGTGAGGGAGATTCTTTTGTAGCATGTATTTATGGAGTGCTTGTTTTATACCCTGTCTGCTGAGCGCAGAGGACTCAGCAATGATCATGCCGATACCACAGTGTAAACCCCTAAAAAATAAATGAATATTCAAGCACAGATATGCTTGTGGAAGAAAGGAGGCACATGGAGGGGATGGAGGATCGCTTTAGAGAGGCGAGAGAAGGCTCCCAGGAGGTGATATCTTTGCCAAGGCTCTTTCAGGTGAGGATAGACTATTAGAAGCCGAATTCGGCTAAGAGATTTTGGGCAGAGTAACCAGCATGTGCAAAGGCCCTGTGGTGCTGAGTCTGATAGAAGGCTCCAGAGAACAGGGAGGGTAAACCTGCCCAGATCCAATTACAGGGCCTTGTGGATGAACCACCGGATCACCGGATGAACCAAGGGGGTAGGCTGAGTGTCCAAGCACGCAACAGCCAAGATGGTTTCTTCCAGGGCTCGAACTAGCCCTCCGCCGCTCCTCCCCCAGTGTGCTTCTACCCCCCCCCCAGGTAGTACACATCCGTGTACACTGATGTCACGGTACGTGGTGGACTTGCCTGCCTCCTATATTCGCAACCTTGCATTTGCAACCTTGAGAGGGAAGACCTCTCGGAGAGGCATCAGCTCTAACTTGCAAGGAGCCAACTTCAAGGGACCAATTTCTCCAGCTGTTTATTCCCTCAAGGACACTGCACTGTAGCTACTGGAGGGCGCTTTCCTCTGGAGGAGGAGTTAACCCCACCTCCTGCCTCTCCCTCTGCTCTGACGGCTGAAGGGGCCTTGGTTTTGGTGTTAGGAGCTGGAGTGCAGGGGAGCCCCCGCCCCAGATGTAGATCTCAATATTAACTCTCCCTTGAATAAGCTCCCACTGGTCTCCCCCACTCCTCCAGTTGGATGACTCCTAGGTCTGTAAGAAGGGAAAGCTCCCTTCCTGTGAGCACCTTAGAAATGCTGTCACAGTGGGACCCAGGACTTGGAGGCAGAGCTCCTTCCTAAATGAGGTCTCTTTGGGACGGCAGCCACCCAGCTGTTTTCTACCCACATTGCTACCTGCCCTGCCATCTTGGGCTGGAAAGGGGTTCTAGGGACCCAAAGGTCCCTAAGGACATGTGTTTAAAGTATAAAAGGGACCCTTCTGCTGGGAAACAGGTGTAAAGGTGAGGGTCCTGGGAGCAGAAGGCAGGGGAAACTGCCCGCTTCCGGCACCCCTGCTACATCTCAGCCCAGGCACAGAGGAAGCTGTGGCCTGGCAGACCTAGTCACGGACTGCTTGGCCATATGTAACTGAAGACGGAACAGCTGTGTTGTTCCCGATCCTGGAGAGAGGTAAGGGAGTTTCCTGAGGCACCCTCGTAGCTGTGGCCCCTGTACCTTCTGGGGGGGGGTTGCATGCCCCCAACTTGTAGTCTTTATCTCCTAACCTCATGCCAAAGGGAGCACCCAAGAGTTCTAAGCCATGAATTGAGGTGATGTGAAGGGCTTATTCCCCGCTGGCTCATCTGTTCACTAGAGAGATCAGAAAGGAAGGGTGACTCTGGACAGAGGGGACCTTAGAACAGAAAAGGGTCCCAAAGAAGGGAGCAGTGAGGGGAAGAGCTACAGGGTATCAGGTTTCCCATGTCGCTAGAATCCGCATCTAGCGGGGTCTGATTGTCACTTGGGGATACTTTAGACAAGCACTTATATCCTGCTGATATACTCTGTTAAGCCAGAAAACCTCCAATTTGAAAAGTAAAATAAATTCTTTGGGCAGTGACCCCACTAACATGAACTTCCTGGGCCAAAGGCCTCCAGGGTCAGAATTACCCAGAAAGGAGCTCCAGTTAAGCAGGTACTTGCACTACTGGATTGCAGCCCACAGCACATTCAACAGCTCCCAAGCTCTGAGCTCCATTTTCAATCATCTGATAGTTCCAGGTCCATCTCGGCTCCCGATTCTAGGGTGTCAGGAGCTGGAACTGTTCTAGGATTTCAAATTGGTGACTGAGCTGGGGTGGGGGGTGTGGCACAGAGGGGGCTTCTAGGTTCCCAGATGGGTTGGGCATACTAGGAGGGTTCTGAATGGCCTTTTTGGCTAAGGGAGGCTGGTCTACCTCTCTTCTAGTATGTGTGTGTAAGTGCGCGCGTGCACGTTTGCGTGCGTGCGCATGCGTGCGTGCGTGCGTGTGCGTGTGTGGCTGGGAGATTGCTCAGGTACAATGAATGGCCAATAGAACAGCCTTATTAACAGCCTTGCTAGGCCTGAGCCTCCAAGGTTAGAATAGTGTGATTGGAGTTTTCTTCCAGGACTCTGGAGTCTACCCTTCCCACTAAGCTGTGGACAGCAAGTTACTAACCTTTCAAGTCAGGCATGATGGTGCACACCTGTAATCCTAGCACTTGGGAGGTGGAGGCCAGAGGGTCAAGAATTCAAGGGTAACCTTGGCTACATAATAAGCCCCAGACCAGCTTGGATTCCATGAGAGCCTGTTCCAAGCAAACATGTCTTGTCTCCTTCTGGGACAACCGAGTGGGGCCGAGGGGTGAGGAAATGCCAATAAAGACTAAGGGAAGCCATGGTGGGAGCTGGGACTGAGGAAGCAGGGATGACTCACAGCCTCCTGACTGCCCACTGGTGTCACTGCCGTCTCGCACCTGGAAGGCATGCAGTGAGTAGACTGACCTGCTTTGATGGGGAGCCATAGTCTGGCCTGAGATCCCCAATACGCTTTGTCTCACCCTTGCTCCGTTGGACCTCAGGGGATCTGGCCTGTGGCGATTCCTATTTCGAGTTCAGTTGGTAGGAACTGAGAAAAGCTACTGACTCATTAAAGGGGTTCAGCATGGGCACCGGGGGAGTGACCAATGAGTGCCAGTGCTCTCAATGCCGATGAGACCCTCACCTCTCGCCTCTGCTTCCTTCCAGTTGGCTTAGCGATTTGTACATGCTTGTGGCCGGTTGTGGATCTAGGGTCCAGTAGAGAAGTAGCTGATAACAAATAGCACAGGATTCAATTAGCTTTGAAGCTGGCCCTCCCTCTCCCATGCTACAAGTTCCTCCAGGGATGTTGCTGTGCCTTGGAGAATTGGAGGCCTCAAGGGAGTTGGCTCCATCCCCGGGCTCAATGAGCTAGTGTCAGCCACACATGAATAAGTTTTGCTGACCTGTTCTGTCAAGTCAAGAAGCCCCCTTCTCCAGGGGGAAAATGAATACCCTGGGCAGTTCCAGTCACCTGTCAACTGGGTGCTCTGGTCTCTTTAGCTCATCATTTTCTCCCCACAGTCTGGGTCTTTCCGGGTCCCTGGTTCTCCTCACATCCTCTCTGCAGGCTCAGTTGGAGATGCCTGTGCTGTAGCCATGTGTGCTTCTGGTAGGATTTTTTTTCACCCCTTGCTTAGCTGGCTTCTGGATGGGGGTCTGCTCCCAGGAGAGGCAGGAGCGGCCAGCTGTGAGGGGTAGCCAGGATGGCTGTACCATTGCCCTCCCTCTGGCTGATGCAGCTGGCTGTCTTTCACGCAGCGTTACGTAAGCTTGAGTCAATTGGGGCTCAGAGCGGTTCATTGTGGGCTATTTTTAAGCTGCAACACATCACAGCAGAGGGGTCACTGCACCAGCGGCTTGCAGGGAAGGTTGTTTAAACATCTGTTATTTAAATTTCTCTGTGCCTAGAGCTCAGAAGCCATATCCTCCCAGCGCTGGTGGCTTCTGCCTTCCACATCCCAGATTAGGAGTGGATTATCTCACCTCACCCTCTCTAAGTTGCCTGAGGCTGGGGTTCTCGTCTCTGGCTGTCTTCCTCTAGGGTTGTGCAGGTGGGACAGGGATCAGGAGATGCCAACTCCTTCACAGACTGGCCTTGTCTCCATGGAATGGGTGAACCTTGGCCAGGATAAACTGCGGGGCTGCCAAGGGTCCAGGGCTTTGGGGTCTCTCACATTGCTCTGGAGGGGGGAGGCAGGCAAACAACTAGGAAACTGAGGCCCCTCTCAATTTCCCATCAGCATCAAGAGAGGGTTGGGTCACAAGAACCTATGGGGTCTTTTCAGAAGCCTTCCTTTCTCTGGGCTCTGCGAGATGGAATGCCCTCCCTACACAGATCTAATACTACGGATCTGCAGCCTCGGGAGCACTTAAGCTGATGTACAAGGCCCCGAGACAAAGCCCCAGGGAAATAAGCCTCAGTTTCTGATCCGCTGTTCAGTGTATGACCGCACTGGGAGACCACTGAAGGAGCCCTCTGATCTTAAGTTTTCTAAGATGTCTGGAGCATTCCCAGGGCCCAGAGTGTCGAAGGCAGGTGTACTGGAAGAGTGCAAGAGCCGGATTTCACAGAGCTGGCTGCTGCTCAAGAATACAAGGGCACCCACAATAGGGTCTGTGTTGGACAAGCAGGCCAGGCTGACCTAGGGGTCGAAGAAACGACAGAACACAAGCAACCTCCCCTCTTCCCTCGATGGCCTTTCTGTCACTTCCACATTCCCTAGGGCCTGTTAGGTGACAGCACCTCAGCCTGATCGGTAGGGGACATTTTCTCCCAGGGTGACTGGATCTTCTCCTCAAGCTTGGGGGCTTCCACAGTGCTTGTTGGGAAGGTTAAGATGAAGCATAAGAGGGAAGGCCAAGCTGGGCATTTGCCTTCACAGGGGAGACACACCGACTTCACCCTCAAACTGAATTGCTCGGCTTCTCCTAGCCACCCCTTCTACCCCACCCTCCCAGGCCCTCAGCCTGGGGAATGGGCTTAGCCTGGGGGAGGGGATTTTAGGTTACCATGGCAACACATTGGCCCTCCTCACTTCCCAGAATCAGAAATAGAATTGGACGCCCTTCTTCCTGGAGAGAGACTATTTAAAAAACAAGTGGGGGGGGGGCACAGGGGCACTATCCCCAAAAGCCAAGCAAAAGGGGCCTAGACTGGAAGCTTCTTCACCCTGCCTCCTCAGTTGGATGAGATAGAAATGGGCTTCAGCCAGTCAAGAATTCTAATGACAGAGGGCGTTAGCCTGGCCACACAGGGTGCAGCTGGGCCATATTCAGTACCGTCAAGTTCCTAGGAGGGTGCTGGGTTAGTATCCCCCATAGAGAACATAAGCTTTCCCAGGCCTTGAGCTACTTGCTAAGTTACCAGAGGGAGCAG